AATAAATAGCAAAACAATTAAAATATTGTGAATAACTGTTTGCCTGTCATTCAGTCCATTCAATACTACGAAGTCTATACCACTCACAGCGCATGCGTCCACTCACTCCCCCCTCACCTATACTTTCCCTTTATATTATTGTTTTAATTAAAACTCAATTATTAATTGCAATTATTTGTAAGTCTTGTGTAAGAAATTAATCCCGGATTACCGTCTAATCCTATGCGTGACTTAACGTATGGGATGTCAGGTAATTACTTAATCCAATTAATTAGATATACATAACGTTACGCTTAATTTGTGGCCAAACTCTATGTGTAAAAGTAGCGAAGGGTTTGAAAAAAATGTGCTATCATTTAGTGTCACGTAATATACGAACAGTCCGTTCATGTGATGACATGTTTTGAAATTTTGGCTCAAATTTATGAAAAAACACAACAAATAGTGATTTTTGAAGCGATGTTTGCGTTGATTGAAGTGAACCATTGATTGTCTCCCCGAAGATGTCTTTCACCAATAATTTGGGCCAATGTTTGACTGAAAGAAATGCCAACCAATGGTCGCATCGAATCGGCGACTACTCGATGGTGTCGGCCATCGGGAAGGGCTCCTTCGGCCAAGTGTTCAAAGCCATCCATAAATCACCTGCGAATGGAAGCGCTGCCGAGGAATGCAAATACTGTGCCATCAAATCGATTGAGAAGAAGTGTTCGCCAAATTTGGGCAAAATCTTGACCGAAGTGTCCATTCATTTGCGGCTCAAAAACGACAATATTTTGCAATTATTTAATGTAATCGAAGACAAAACTAATGTGTATTTAGTGTTGGAGTTGTGTTTCGGCGGAACTCTTACACAACTGATCCAAATGTGTGCCAAACAGTCGAAGAGCAGCTGCAAAACGAGCGACAATTGTCTTCATCCCATTCTGGACTACTCAGTGATCCGCAATATAATGAGACAATTGTGTAATGGATTGGATTATCTGCACCGCAACTCAATAGTCCACAGAGACCTCAATCTTAACAATGTATTGGTTTTGCATCCGTTTGAAAGCGATAGTGATTTAGTGGTGAAGATCGCCGACTTTGGTCTCGCCATTGATCTCAACTCGTCTTCATTACAACACTCGTCTAAACCTCACAGAGAAGAGCACGTAATCCCACTCCCGATTGGGACCACAATATGCGGTACTCCGGGCTTCATATCGCCGGAGGTTTGGTCTCAAATGCAAACCGTTTCGCCGAAGAGTGATATTTTCAGTTTGGGTTCAATTCTGTTCGCATGTATTGCCGGCTATACTCCCAAAGGAGGGCTCGTATGTTGTCTTCATTTTATATTTAAAACATTGTTTGGAGATATGTTTTGTTGAAACAATATGTAGTAAATTGTGTTTTTTGTTTGACAGGATTTAAGCAACTTTTCTCCGTTTGCTTGCGATCTGATTTGTCGTCTGTTGGCCCCAAACCCTACGGATCGGCCACTCATTGAAGACATACTGAATCACCCATTAATTGAAGGCCCGCTCACAACCGATCGATTGCTTCCCATTAATAAGACCACTAAAGATCTGCAGTTAGCCATCGATACCGACGGAAACGTTAATTTAAAATTTAACAAAAAATTACAAACAATTCAAGTGTCCAGAAATGGACTCAATATATGTATTACTGGCCAACAAAATAAGTCCAAAGTTTATAATTTTTATAATTTACCCCAAAATGAATGGAAAAAGTATTTTTATGCGCAAAAGTTTGTGCAATTAGTGAGCGGAAAGACACCCAAAATCACCATTCATTGCAAAAACGATCACAATTTAAGTGAATATATCATAAAGTGTTGTTTAATGGAAAACAATGACTTCGAAGTCACACTTTTCAATACCATCACAAATGAAAGCAAAAAGGTTTTGGCAAATGATTGCAATCAATTGAGTGAAACAGTGGCCGCAAAACGTGCCAAAGAGTTGCGTGAATTTTGTTTGACAAAAGAAAAGGAGTTCCAAAGGGAGCGAAACAGGACTGGAATCGATTGCTTTCCCATTTGTTTTGGCAGAAAAAGCAAAATCAAAACCGAAAGCACGCAAACACTTTCAACACAACAGCCATTCATATCGAGTCAGATCTTGAGATCCATTCAAATCGATGGCATTGGAGAAGCGGCTCAGGTATGACATCTTTAATGTATTGTTTGCAATGGTTTCTAATGAAAAAGTTATCATTTTATACTCACAAAAGCTGTCAAACGGTGTCTTCAATGTTACGTTCACTGATGGCTCGTCTCTGTGTTTTAGAAGTGATTCCGAAATTCCGGTTATTTTTTACCCGAAAAACGGGTCAGAAATGAGGTATTAATCGATGAAAAGATGACAAAATCATAAATTTCTAATGAATTGATTTCTAACACATTTTTAGGTTCAAAAAGAGCGACTCATTGCCAGAGTTTGTAAAACAAAAGTTAGCGCTTTTGCCACAAATTGTCAATAAATTAAAAGATACTCAAAGTATTAGTTAATATTTTTTATATTATAAATTGTAAGTATTTTTTATAATCAATAATTAAATTATATGTAAATTTTATAAACGATTTGATTTTGTGAAGAAAAAGCAATTTTATACTTAAATTAAAGTTTCTGTTATACATAACTCTATTATACCGTAATATAAAAGCGAATAAAAAAACAAAACAGAAAGCTATTAAAACTAATGCTAAACATAAACTAATTGTGTTTTTAATACTAATTTCCATACATTTATCATAAAATCAAGTTTTTTGACGAAACAAAAAAGAGTTTAAAAAACATTTCAAATCAAATNTTAATGTATTGTTTGCAATGGTTTCTAATGAAAAAGTTATCATTTTATACTCACAAAAGCTGTCAAACGGTGTCTTCAATGTTACGTTCACTGATGGCTCGTCTCTGTGTTTTAGAAGTGATTCCGAAATTCCGGTTATTTTTTACCCGAAAAACGGGTCAGAAATGAGGTATTAATCGATGAAAAGATGACAAAATCATAAATTTCTAATGAATTGATTTCTAACACATTTTTAGGTTCAAAAAGAGCGACTCATTGCCAGAGTTTGTAAAACAAAAGTTAGCGCTTTTGCCACAAATTGTCAATAAATTAAAAGATACTCAAAGTATTAGTTAATATTTTTTATATTATAAATTGTAAGTATTTTTTTATAATCAATAATTAAATTATATGTAAATTTTATAAACGATTTGATTTTTGTGAAGAAAAAGCATTTTATACTTAAATTAAAGTTTCTGTTATACATAACTCTATTATACCATAATATAAAAGCGAATAAAAAACAAAACAGAAATCAATTAAAACTAATGCTAAACATAAACTAATTGTGTTTTTAATACTAATTTCCATACATTTATCATAAAATCAAGTTTTTTTGACGAAACAAAAAAGAGTTTTAAAAAAACATTTCAAATCAAATGAAAAGTTTCAATGAAATGGGAAAGGGATGTATGGATGGGACGGCAGGACGACTGGTGGCGTCCCCTCTCGACTCACTCTCCACTCCCATAGTGTTTGCACGCATTGAACGCTCACTTCCTTTCAGTCACACGTCGTCGACATTTTGCAGGTATTTATGCGAACATTATATCATTATTTCCTTAATTTTATAGTTAATTACAATTTATT